ATATATGTGATACATATGTAGAGTGATACATGTTATAGAGGTGTGGCATGTACTATATATTCTGCATAGTATATGATTATAAAACATAATATCATTTTAATGCTCAATTAAATAGTTATTTTAAGCTAGATTTAAAGTGTCGTAATAGTTATTTTTTTTGAATTATTATATAAAAAGACTCGATGCACAAGAAAGAAAAGAGAACAAACATATAAATACATTTGTACAAAAATATTCTCGATAGAAATTTATTCTTTCTTATAAACATTCATTACTCTGTAATTGTTTATATAATGTCTAAATGAAGCAAACACAACTTCTTTGTAACCTTCATCATTGTTATAAGATTGAATCTGGAAAAACTTATTTGAAAAATAATATTTATTTTTGAACTTGGAGAAACTTGTTTGAAAAACAATATTTGATTGTTAAGCCTGGATAAACTTGTTTATTAAAAGAATTCTTGAATAGTTATTTGAAGAAGCATGTCAAAGAATATTTAGGAATAAATTAGAATTGCCTTGTTAAAGAATATGGTTAGATTGAGGATCGGATGTAGTCTTAGTAGTTGAGACAAACCGATATAAAATTACTCAGATTTTTATCTAGTTACTCTTCTTATTTTATCTAACTAGCATTATTACTCCACCATAAAAAAACATGCGAATTTGCAATATACACTATTCAACAATCTCTTATAATGTTTATCTTTTTTCTACAAATATTTTTATAATAAAATTAATAATTAAATTAATAGTGTAAATACAATGATAAAGTCATGAAAACTTTTGAAAATCAATATGACATCAAGTTACAATTTTAAAAACTAAAATAATATTAAATTATAATTTTAGGAATTAAATTGACACAATTATTATAATTTCGAGAATTAAAATGATTTTGTTGTATATTCATATACGTGTCACTCCATATAAATTAAATTTTGAATGAAATGACCAAACCACTAATTTAACTTTTAAAAATGGACTTACATATTTAATCATCTTGCACTTCACTGAAGAAACGCAGGTGACTTCCATTTCTGAGAACGCAAGTATATATTCCAGAGGATTTTATTATAAATTTTATGCAACCTCACAGTTGCATTCATACCATAGAACTTAAGCTCCAATTTTTCCCACTGATCAACTCAATTCATTCTGATCATTGGTACAAAGTGATTTAACTCCAAGGTTATGCCATGATAATTTGATGATCACCAGCACAGAATCATTTGGAGTTTGGATAAATTTGTCTTACAAGCAAAAAAAAAAAAAAAAAAAAGAAA